GGTGAAGGAGAGGAGATATTTCAGGTGAAGGATGCTGCTGGTGTGAGGATGGGTTGGGATAAATTGCTCATGGAGAGGGAGCAGGTTTAGATTTGATGTTAGGAAGGAATTCTTCCCTAAGAGGATCCCTGCCAGAGGTGCCCAGAGCAGCTGGGGCTGCCCCTGGATCCCTGGCAGAGCCCAGGGCCAGGCTGGACAGGGCTGGGAGCTCCTGGGACAGTGGGAGGTGTCCCTGCCATGGCAGGGGTGGGATGAGATGAGTTTTTGGTCTTTCTCCAATCCAAGCCATTCCTTGCCTCCGGGGTTTGTCACGGAACCGAGTCTGTCCCCATCACAGGCAGCTCTGTCATCCCCCTCTGGCCAAGCTGAACGTCCCAGACCCCTCTGGGGATCCCCAGTCCTGCTCCCACCACTCTGCAGGACACCCCAGGCTCGGGAGCAAATCCCAGCTCCTCAGGGATCCCCTGCTGTGGCCGAGCTCCCCCGGCCAGGACGACGGGGCTGAGCCCCGGCTCCCCGAGCATCTCCCAGCCATCAGCTCCCAAACCCAAGGGCAGCCAAGGCTCCGTGGGGACGAGAATTCTGGGGGCAGTAACGGAGCTGCCGCCTGCAGGGTTATTTACAGCCCTCAGGAAAAACACGGAGGTTTGGAAGCATTTCCTACCATGGGAAAACATTGATTTTTGTCAGCCTCAGCCTCGAGCTGAGGCTCTTGCACTTAATAAGACAAAAATGACAGCGCAGAGCCTGGTGACAGCTGCTCCCAGGTCAGGCTGGTGGATTCCCAATGGCTGCATCCGTGAGCCGAGCCCGGCGGGAGGGATGGGCAGGATGGGCAGAGGCAGCTCCATCCCCTCTGGCCTGGCTGCGAGGGCGCTCACTTCACCCACACCAGGCATCCTGGCCGGAAGGAGCCGGGCTTTGCTGCGGTGTTGACAGCCTGGAATTTCCCTCCCCAGGACTGTGGGGTGCCCTGGGAACGGTGCCTGGACAAATTGGAATTCCCACACCCGAGCTCTCCCTTGTGTGACCACAGACATAAAGCGAGTGCAAACTCCACCTCCAGAGCACATGAAAAATAGGAAGTGCCAAGTCCTGCTCCCAAATGCCAGCTGGGATAATGGATCAACCCTCTGCTCCCTGCACCAAATAACATCCGGCTGCTCACAGCCCTCCCCTGCTCCGGGACCAGGAGCATCGCTCCAGGGGGGAAACTGAGGCACCAAGCATTATGGGGGGGGTCAAGGGACCCCAAAAGTGGTACAGGCGGGTATGGGGATCCCAAAAATGCAACCAGTTCCCTCTCCAGTGCCCGGGGTCGGTTTCATGGGCTGCTCCCTGCAAAGGCCAAGGAAAGCCAGGCTCACCTCCTGCTGGCTCCCGCTGTGCCAGGCCGGTTCCCCCGGCACCTCCACACCACACTCGGCCTGCCAGGACCTGCTGAGTCAGCAGCAGCAGCGGATTTCACCGGAACGAGCCGTTTTCCTGCTGGGAAGGGCCCCACGACCCCATTGTTCACGAGGGGCTGCTATCAGTGCGAGAGTCGAGCTTTGCCCCGAGCAGCCAACTGCAGCCCGAAATAACCCACTTCGCTTCCTTCCTGTCGCTCAAGTTTCCAGCCCGGCTCAGGGCTAGACTGCCCCCCACCCCCTTCTTCTTTTTCATGAAAACACCCTAAAAAACAGCTTCTTCTTCTTCCGAACTGGAGCAGCCGAGTGCTGCTGTCACCGAGTTCCTCCCTGCTCCGGAAGAGTGCGGCAGGGCTGTGGTCCCAACCGTGGCTTTGGGGACAGCTACAGCCCTTTCTTGGAGGGTTTCCACCCATTTTGGAGGTTTCTGGGGAGTCTTGCAGCCCTGAGCTGAACCCTGTGTGAGGGTTGGGGTGTCCTGGGCCACAGGAGGGTCCCCTGGGTTGTGCCGTGCCCATCTCTGGTTTGGCTCTCCCCTCGCTGGCCTTGCACCTCAGCCAACACCCAGCTGTGACCTGATTTCCCCAGAAAACCTCTCCCACCCCACTGAGGACACAAGCATCAGTGAAAGCTCCTGTCTGAGGGGGGAAGACAGGATCCTGTCACCCTGTGGTCACCTGGCGCCGGTGGCACCAGGGCAAAGCTGCCAAGTGAGCACCGTCCAGAGCTCCTTTATGAAGCGGGGCCAAACCCAGCAGTGACACCATGGCATTTCTCATTTTTACCTGTCCCAAAGACCCCTCTCCCTGCCTGTCCCTTTCACCTGGTTCCCAGCAGCAGCTCTGTGGGCTCGGTCCCCCGAGCGCCCCCAGTTCCCTTGGCAGCAGGTGAATATTTCATGCAGGAAAGGAAAAGCACTTAAATAATTCATGGAGCAGCGCAGAGGGGGAGGCTCCACAAAGCTCCAGCTCAGAGCAGAGGCACCTTTGCCTCCTCTTCCTCCTCCTCTCCCTCCTCCACCTTCCCACCGTGGCCGCAGTAACTTGGATTGTCTTGCTACAAGTTTCCTCCGACATGGAAACATCGTTTCCCAACAGGATAAACAGGGAATAGCGGCGATTTCCCTGGATTTCCCTGCATCCCACACCCCGCTCTGGGAAACAGCCCCGCTCTGCACCTCCGCGTTCCCGGTGTCCCCGGCCCCGTGGCTGAACGCCAGGCGGGTGGATGGGATCCCTCTGCTCCGCTCTCCGACCCCCATTAATTAATTAAACCCTCCTGGATTACCGGAGCCGGGTCGGAGCGCCAGGCAGTAACCGGAGAGCCCCGGCAGCGTTCCCAGCCCGTCCGTGCCCCCGCAGCCCCCAGGCCCCGTTCCCGGCGGGGAGAGCGGAGGAAGAGGAGCGGGAGGAAGGACGCGTGCCGGGGGTTGCCATGGGTGCAAAGAGCAGCCGGAGACGCCGGCCCGGGCGCGTGTGTGCCCAGCGGGGCGAGGCCAGGAGGAGCCGCAGGGTAAACACCTCGAAAAGCTCCTCTCCCGGCGAGGTGAGCCCGCGGCCGGAGCGGGGACTCTGCGGGAGCTGCGCTCCCGAAGCAGCGCTCGGCACGGCCCCGCCGCTGTCCCCCCTCCTCTGGCACCGGGGGCTGAGCTCCCATCCCCAAACCTCCCTCCGCGGGCACCGCTGCGGTGGGAACCCGCTGCACCCACGGGAAGGAGACGGTTCTCGGTTTTGCCTGGGAATTCTGATCCGCCCCGGCAGCTCCGACGTGTCTGTGCAAGGAACCGAGCGGCCCCGGCCGAGGGGGCTCCGGCGATGCCAACCCCGGGCGTGGGTGGGGAACCCCCGGCAGCGCTTCCCGTGGGAATGGGATCCCGGGATCCGCGTGGAGCCGGGCTCAGACACGGCAGGGCTGATTTGAGGATCTGCTGTGGCATCGAGGAATTCCCCTGGGATTACCGTGCCCCGGGGGGCAGGCAGCTGCCAAACTGGAGAGGACGAGGAGGAATGGAGTTTATTTCAAGTAGAGAAGGAGGAGGAAGAGGAGGAGGAAGGGGGGTTATTTTATGAAGAGGAGGAGGAAGAGGAGGAGGAAGAGGAGGAAGAGGAAGAAATAGGGTTTTTATGGAGAAAAAGCAGAGGAAGAAGAGGAAGAAGGGGGTTATTTTCCAGAGAGGAGGGGGAGGAGGAAGGGGGGGGTTATTTTGGAGCATCTGTCTTCCCTTCCATTTCCTCCTTTTCTTTCTCCAGCTGCCATCAAGCTGCTCTCTCTGGCAGCAACTTCCTTTCTCCATCGCTCGGAGCAGACGGAGACTTATGGGGAAGTAGAAAACAGAGGCTGGGAGGGGGGAAACTGAGGCCAAACCACCATCCGTCCGTCTGTCCGGCTGCGGCGGGGGCCAGGGCGCATCACATGCTTCCTGCCCCGGGATCAGGAGGACAAAGTCGCTCTGGGAGGGAGGAAAACTCCATGGGACAATTCGGATCCAACACCTCGGAGTCAGCAAAGAACGGCCCAAAATGGCCCAAATCCGTCCCCGCTTCAGGGGAGGATCAGTCAGGGTTGGGAGGTTTTACACCCAGCCCTTGCCCCGGGACGGCTCTGGCGTCTCCAAAGGGATTGTTCTTTCCAGGAATCGAGGGATTTCATCCTCTGGAGCGCAGGGGTGGGAGGAGGGACGGGCGATGCTCGAAGCCAAGTGCTGCCATGGGGCACCCGGCCCTCCCTGGCACGTGGGGCCGTGACAGCCCCACGGGGGTGGCTCCGGTGCCTCCTCCCAGCTCCCGTTATCCAGCACCCACCGGACACTGCGCTCTCGCATTTCCCTTGGATCTGGGGGGAAATCGCCCTTTCCCCGTGTTTTATCCACCTGGGAAAGCTGAGGCACATCCAGGGGCTGCCGGGGGCAGCTCCGGGCTCTGCCCGTCCCGCAGCTCCCGCCCCTCGCGGCTCCCCAGACCCTCCTTTCCCGCCGGGGCTCCCGGTGACACCGGGGAGGGGACACACACGGATGATTCCCGGGGTGAGGAACGAGAGGCTTCGCCCCTCAGTGCAAGCACGAAACGGGCCGGTACCGAGCGCTCCCGGCCCCACGGACCGGGGAAGATGGGAGGTACCGGGGGAATCAGCCCTTACCTGCAGCCTGCCTCGGGGAGAGCGGCGCCGGGACCGGGACCGGGGCTGCTCCGGTGCCCCCGGTGGGGTGGGGCGGGACGGGGCGGGGCGGGAGGCGCGGGACGGGGAGGGAGGAGGGTCCCGTTTCCCTCGGCGCCTCTCCCTGCCCGGCGGGCCCCAGCAGCCACTACCAGTGCCCGGTGTCCTATGTCTGGTGCCAGTTCCCGGTGTCCGGTGCCCGGTTCCCGATGTCGGTTCCCAGTTCCCGGTGTCCGGTTGCCGGCTCTCAGTGCCCGGTTCTCGGGGCCGGTTCCCGGCTCTCAGTGCCCGGTTCCCGGTGCCGGTTCCCGGCTCTCAGTGCCCGGTTCCCGGTGCCGGTTCCCGGCTCTCAGTGCCCGGTTCCCGGTGCCGGTTCCCGGCGGGTCGGGGCCTCCCGCCCGCGGCCGCTGCCAAGTCCCGCGCGGGGCCGGGAGCGGCGGGGGCGGGGCTGGGGGCGTGTCCAGCAGGCAGCGCCATCCAATGGCGGAGCTGGGCTTGCTACGAAGAAGCCAATGGGAGCGCGTGAATGGGGAGTGGGCGGGGCCTAGCGGGCGCGCCCCCGTGGGTCCCGCGCGCGTGGGCCGGAGCCGGTAACGCGCGGGGGGCGGGCACGGGGCCCCCGCAGCCTGCACGGGGTGACAGGGACACGGGTGGGTGACAGGGACACGGGTGGGTGACAGGGACACCGGTGGGCGACAGTGACACGGGTGGGTGACAGGGACACCGGTGAGTGACAGGGACAGCGGTGGGTGACAGTGACACGGGTGGGTGACAGGGACAGCGGTGGGTGACAGGGACACGCTGGGTGAGAGGATCACGCGTGGAAGCGCCCGGGACGCCGGGCGGGCTCCGCGGCGCTGGCGAGCAGGAGCTGAGGAGGGCGCTGCCGGACCAGGCTGAGCGTGGGCAGAGCCGCGGGGTCTCGCAAAGCTCCCCCTCCTCTGCTCCCCGCGACCTCACGAGGGGATGTGACACCCGTGGGAAGAGAGGAAGGCGTGGGCGCTGCCGGCCGAGGGCAGCGTGTGCGGGAGTGATTCGGCCTGGGGGTCGTGGCTGTCAGTTCTTCCCGGTGCTGGGGACCCCCCGACACCCCAGAGATTCGGAGCTCCCCCGCATCGGGGGTGTCGGAGCGTCCTTCCTCTTCCTCCTCCCGGCTCAGAGGGTAGGAGCCGCGGCACGAGATCCTAATTCCCAAAGGTGGCATTAAACAGATTAAAAACGGGATTTAGAGCGGATTAAAGTCTGGATTAACGGGAGCCTTGACTTGAATCTTGGTCTCACGCAGCGGCTGGAAAGCGAGCCCCAGATCCTCGCCAGCCCCCCCGGTCCTGCTGCCCCCGCCCCACGGCAGTGCCCGACACCCCCGGGGCATCGCCCTCACTCCCCGTATCCCCGAGGATTTGGTCTGGTCCCAGGCCGTGCCGGAACAGCCAGAGCAGCTGTCGCCGCCCCTCCGAACAGTTGTGGCACCACCGTGCCCGGCACAAATCCCGCTCCGGGCTCGTCTGGTCCCGGGGGCCACCAGGAGCCGGGTCCTGTGTCCCCATCACTGCCCCCTTCTGTGTCCCCATCACTGTCCCACCCCACATTCCCGTCGCTGGGACACCCCCGCAGCTTTTCTGAAGGTGTTGCTGAAGGTGTTCGGAGGGTGACGGGGAGGGCCGGTGCACCCCGGTGTGCCCAACACCCAGATCCCACAGTTCCCAACTCGGGAAGGATCTCGGGGGTGTCCCCACGTCCTGCAGAGCTCCGCACCTCCCTCCAGCCCCGGAGCAGCGGCTGGGGGTGCTTGGCTGGGCTCTCACGGGGGGAGCCCCCACAAATCCTCGTCTCTGCCTGGAGGGCGCTGCCGCGAGGATGGAGCTGCGGGTCAGCGGGGATGGGAGCTGGCTCCGCATGAAAACAGGGAATAAAAAAGAGAAGCAGCAGGATCTGGGCCAGCTCCGAGCGGCCTCTCCCCCCGTCCCTCCTCTCCTTTCAGGGAAAAGAAATGGGGCTTTGCAGAGGCTCCTCTCCTGCCCGCCGAGCATCGCCCGTCCTCGGGGAGGC